TTTTTTTTTTTTTTTTTTTTTTCAGTTAGATCTTAATTTTGAAATAGAAACATACACTTACAAAGACAAGGTATTTGTTGCAATAAGGCAATTACCAAAAAGTGCACGAGCAAGACTGTTATTCTCCATGTATTCATATATTAGTAGCAACTGGTTTCCTTCAATGCAACAGCCATAAAGCTTCACCAGATTTGGATGCTGCAAAGCAGATATCATTCCAATTTCATTTACAAATTCACGGTTCCCTTGCTTCGATTTGGATGAGAGCTGCTTAACAGCAATCACATCACCATCTGACAGCACACCCTGTGATTAAACCATTGCTTCAGTATCATGTTTTTATGTGCAATAGTATTGTGGGATAAGTGGCATGCCTCAATGTTTTGAAACCATATACTGATTATATCTGATGATTTTGTTAGTTACCTTGTATACAGGACCAAATCCTCCTTCACCTATCTTATTTGCAGGGTCAAAGTTATTAGTAGCTGCTTTAATTTGTCTTAAGCTGAAATAACCCGTTTTCATTTCTAGAAGTTCTGCAACAGGGAAGATTTATAAATAAAATCACTATCCATATGTTTTAGAAAATCAGCAAATAAGAAAAAGGAAGAAAGAGAAAGGAGAGGCACAGGAAGAGAGAAATAGAGAATCCAACAAATATTTGCAACAATAAAGAACCTAAATCTGCATTTTCTTTTAAATTTTTCATCATTTTGGATCTATACAATAAATTAATGTCTTGGAATAATATATATGGATGAATTGTACATTGTAAATATATTTTCTTTTATTAACAAAAGGAAATTTACAAGAGCAGCAACTAGGAACTTTTATTTTGGCTGAGTCTTACCTTTATCTGTTGTATCTTTCCTACCAATGAAACCCATCTTCCAAAGTGCAACTAGTATTAATATGACAAACCCACATGATGCAGCAACAATTCCAACAATAGCACCAGCAGACAACCCTTTTGAAGGATCTTCAAAGTCTACAACAAAGTAGGGATTCTTATAGAACATGTCATAACATGGCGGTTGAGAGAACAAATAATTATAAGAAAAACCTTACTTGGTATCATCTCAATAGCAGATATAAGAGGTCCATATACACCTCTATCAGGAATTGCAGCAGTTCCTTTCCCTGCCCAGTATAAGTGGATTTCCAAGGTGCCATCATCAACATCAACATCATATTCCTTAGTGATGCCCTTTCCAACTCCACCAGCCGCTTCCGCAATGTTAAAATTTTTCAAATATCTAATACCCTGTTAAGATGCAGCATTGAAAATTTCTACCTTCAGTTCAGAATTTCTGTTTTGTTCAAATAAAAGATATGAAATATGATAAAAATGTAAGAAATGACCAAAACAATGCAACATGATGTTTTGCTTCAGCACTTACTTGAACTGAAACATCAAATATGCGCCTTCCTAGACTGTTAAAAGTTTGATCATCAGAAAACATTATCTCAGCAAAATGGAGCTTCACTTTATAATTGCCCTTTGGCAGACAAAGACCATAGTAGTTAAGTGAAACAGGGGAAAGGCGAGCATTTTGGTAGTAATCTGGACCACTAATATTCAAAGAAAACGTATTTTGTGCTATATAATCTCTATTAGCATTTCCCAAATATACTCCTGTGCTGCTATAAGCCCATTGTCCATCATTTCTAAGAACAAAATTTGAAGTGCCATCTGGCTGGAGGTCACCTACATAGTTATTGCCTTCAAATTCCCCCTCTTCTCCTCCACAATTTATGAACAATGACTTATCTGCAAACACAGAAAATCTCAGAAGTTCCTCCTAACAAAAAAATCTGACATCTTTATTCACAAAATGATTCTAGTGTATGGAAACCTTTTGACATAATTGTAATTTTGGTCCCTTTATTCTTGTTATTTCTTGAATTCGGTCCTCGTATTTTTTTATTGAATTTGATCCTTCATTGTTTTAATTGTGCAATTTTGGTTCTTCCATTAACTTAACATTGAATAATTAAAAGAAATATTAATGTGACACTTTACTGCACTTCTTAGAAATATGGGATAAAAGTTTAACCTAACCTTATAAATTAATTTATAAGGTGATTATTATTTTCCATTTATATATTATATTTTGACCATATTACTAATCAATGTGGATCTCCAACATCACTATCAACTAACACATTCATGAGAACATGACACTACTACAATACCACCATTTCCATTATACATTGGATGTCATGCTAACATATGGATCAAAATTGCACAATTGAAATAGTCGAGATCAAATTCGCAAAAAAAAATAATGAGGGACTAAATTCGAAAAATAACAATAGTAAAGAGAATAAAAGTGTAATTAAGCCAATTATTTTATTTACTACATCTCAACACTCACACTGGGGTTTTCCTGCACAGGGAAGGTCCCTCTTCAAACAAAAAGTTCTACAAAATGAATATAGTTAGTTTCAACAAATATGATTCCATGGTGATCAACCAAGTGCAAAATAAGCAAAGAACTTACGAAGCCGAAGTTACCGCTGAAGAAGAATGACTTGAAGCCAGGTTCCTGTGCAGTAACAGTAAAGGGTTATTGACATAGCTGAAAGAAATGCTTATATATTGCTAGACAAAGAGAATCTTACACATCCAACTGCTGACAACCAGTTGCAGTAGACTTGGTAAAATTGTTGTAAGATAAATCTCTGAAAGTGAACATATGGTAAGATTTAATTTAATGTTTTCATCATTCAATTACTAGTCGAGATTAATCACAAGAAAAAGAACTGAAAGGACTATTATCGTTGTATCAATAATACATAGTATATGGTGTAATTCTAAAAAGTTTCTAAATTATGAAATTAGATAAAACACAATGAAGAAAATATGCTAACATGTTATGTTTGAAGCTCAGTATCCAGTCCTGAATTGGTCCACTCAGAGAATTATTTGTCAGAAACCTGCATCAAATCAATAAATAAAAAGCAACCAATTTTCCGATATTAAATTACTAGCTGAATATATATATAATATCTTTTTAGCTAATCTTCTGGTAAGGAAATGGAACGTTTACTTACAAGTAGTATAGGTAGTTCAATCCCTGTATTGAATCTGGAATTGGACCAGTCAACATGTTGAAGCTTAGGTCTCTGCAAGAAAAACAAAATAGTTATAATGCAAAGTAATGAATCACATGAGTCATGGACTCATACCTGATCAAATCTTGAGAACAAAATATTGGGAATCTTTTCAGTGCCATATGAAAACAAACAAACTTAGCATATCAATTTTATGGATATTCTTTTCCAGAAATTACTCCTACCCAAAGAATTCGTATCGGCTTATTATTCTATGTGTCACACAACGGTCATACAAAAAAACATGTTCCAAATCTCCATAAATAAATGACTGACAATCCTTTTTTCCCATGACGATGAGTTTCGTTCAATAGTGTAAAAAATAACCTTGAAAATCATTATCACACCCACCCCAAGATGAGGATGTAAAAATGAGTGACATTAGCCAACATAATTGTTCATAAAAAATAGTTGGAAATGAATTATCAATCTTTATATGTAAGTAACACATAAACATGTCCTAATCAAAGTAAACCCTTTGAAACAAATTGGGGACAGAAAATAAAACAAGAGATAAATGGTACAAAATGCAGTGCCTCTTCAAACATTAAGAATTATTATTACACAAACAGTTTTAAGTTAGAGTTCACACCTGAAATCCCATCATTGGAGTGCAAAAATGAGAAGAAAACCTTAAATGAATGATAAAATGATGAGAAAAAGAAACTTGAGCTGAATACCCTATTGATGCAACTTACAAAGTAGCCAAGTTTGTCAGTTCACCGATTTCGTCTGGAATGGGACCAGTGATTAAGCAATTTCTCAATTCCCTGTGTCACAGAAATGTACCACTTCATTGAAAGCCCAAATGAATTTTATGGTTCTTCACAAAATTAGTTGAATATATGTTTCAACTCACAGTCGTTGCAAGAGTTTCAAATTCTTCAGATCTGGAAATGTCATAGTTGGTCCACTCAAATCGGTTATTCTCCTGATGCAGAAATGTTCATCAATGAAAAGGAAATGTTCCACAAACATTGCACATGAAGAGTGTTAGCAATACACTCTCAAACACACTTTTCTTAACATTCTTGTTTTTATTGGTTATAATTTATTAAAAACTACAAAATCAGGAGAGAGAAAAAAAAGATTAAATAGGATGATAAAGGATGATAAAACTCACCAAATTTTATGTTTTCCAATAAATTTCAACGGATAAGAGTGTTTAAAAGAGTATGACAAAGAGTGGATTGCTAGCATTTCCCCATTGCACAATATGCAGATAAAATGCTCCAATTCATGAATATTCTAGAAAGAAGCATGTACTCACAAGTCAGTCAAAAGTGTCAATTGAGATATAGTGGTAGGAATTGGGCCTTCCATAGATGTTCCCTGCATATCCCTAACAAAAACATTAAATTTAATCAGAAAATCGAAGGAAGTTAACAAGGAAGCAAACGGTTGTGTGATGTCGCATCCATTTCAGACATGCCACTTCATGAACACTATGAGTACTCTTAAATCTTAATTGCATTATACCTAGTTTTTGGTTTTTTCTTTTTTAGAAGTTAAAACTTGTTTTTTTATTTTAAGACCACATGTATTTTGCACTAGAAGCAATAAGTATTTAACACAACTGCATATCTAAATTGAAACAATTCTGCACCTGTTGATCCACATGTTCGATGGTATTTTTGAAACGTTTATGCCAATATAGATGAGAATATCATAATATTCTGACTGACCTACTTTTAAGTTTTAACTGATTTAATTAACACCAACTATTTACTCAACTATACAAACGGAACACACATTTGAATCTGACATTATGCATGATATATAAAATATAAGATTTATTTTCTTGTCTAACAAGAAAATATTCAGTTACTAAATTTGTACTCACAATCTTGTAAGTTTGGTCCATTTCCCAATGAAACTGGGTATTGGTCCCGACAAACTGTTTCCATCTATCCTACTGCAAAAAATGCAATGAATAATTTTAGAATTGAACAATGTTACAAAAAAAAAAAAAAAAACAAACTGAAAAAAAAAAAAAAACAAACTGAAAAAAAAAAAAAAATCAAAAGAACATTTGTATCAGTTCATGCCACTCACAAATTAGTGAGATTCGTTAGTTTGCTAAATGTTTCTGGTATGGTCCCTGTAAAATTATTTGCAGAAAGAAACCTGGAAATCGTATAAAAATAACTAAAATTTAGCCTTGCACAAAATTGAAAATTAGTAGGCAAATTATATAGATATCAATACAGAAAAGTGAATGATTAAAATTGATTACATATATCAAATGAAAAGGATTAGAAAAGAAATAATCTTACAGTCTCTTCAACTTGCTCAAATTTCCAAGACTAGGAGGAAGTGGTCCTACAAGTTGATTACTTTCTAAGACCCTATAAACATGAATACACCAATATCATCATTCAAGTATTCAACTTCCAATATCAACCATTTTTAATAAATAAAAATCAAATTTCTCTAGCACTTACAGCTCTTCTAGACTAGCAATATTACCAATTTCTGCTGGAATTTGACCACTTAGTCGGTTTCCCAAAAGGGACCTGAATCACACAGTAGCATTGTACATTGATCATTTCAAATAAGGAAACATGGAAACTAGTGAAAGCCACTAATGCAAAATTAAGTAAATTTTTTTCACTCAAAGAATGTTTTAGTTAAGAAATAGTTGAGTATAGGTTCACCTAACTGCTTAGACTTTAAGGTGAAAGGGTCAGTAACAATTAGCACAAGATCAGGTGCATGCTTCATCCAAAGAGCCAGACTAAAAAACACAGAACAAAGGTATAATGAACACTTACAAAATGACCAGTGAATTGGGACCAAAACTCGTTGGAAGTGGGCCACTGAGATAGTTGCGAGTAAGATCGCTGCATGCACAAGGTATAAAAGTTCTAATAGTTAATTTTTCACATTGACATGAACAAATATAACAGTTCTAAAATGCATTGCAAGTTAAAGAAGAGCCATTTGAAGTCACGGAAAGCAATGTGTACAATTTGCAAACAGTTGTGACTATCATAGCTGTATTACCAAGATATAATCAACATTTTCTATATCACAGTGACAACATTTATGACTACACCAAAAAAATTATGACTACATAATAAAATATACAATTACTTACAGTACTTTCAGTTGTGTGAGATTTCCAAATTCACTGGGGAAAAATCCAGATATATTTTGACGCTTGAGATAGCTACAATTACCAAACTATGGTATTAGTATCCCACAAAGATAAATAAATAAATTAATTAAAGAGATAAACCTTTAAATGAATTTAATTAATATAAGATCATAGAAAATGTGAATGTTAGGAAATGTTGAGCCAGAGTTTATTTTAACTTATATATTTATTGTTATATTATAAATTAAAATACACAACCTCAGCAAGGCATTCTCAACATTTTATCTTTTATCACACTATTTCTGCAATTAGGCACAAATTTCTCTCGATCAAATTATCCTCCTTTTTATTTTTATAATGTGTGCATAGATGAACTATGTACCCCTTTTAATCAAAATACGTTTATCCATATTACTAAATTGAATTTCAATGATTTTTTAAAATTGTTAATAAGTAAAAACAACTTTATATTGCAATTTAAGCTATTTATTATAAATCTAAAATAGAATTTATATATCTATAAAGATATTTATTTATTATAAATTTTAATTTTATTATAATTTATACATTTAAAGATATTATTTATTTTGAATTTTTAATTATATAAAAATAAACATTTATCCTGTCATCTGTCTATGATATACATAATAAAATACAGATAATTAATTGGTTAAGCATATAAAAGGAGAGGACTTTTCTATAATCTCTTTTAGCTTATTTTAATAAGTCCCATAATAAAGTTTATTAAAATAAAATAAACTTTTTTTAGATTATTTTTATTTAATAAGCATTAATTAAACTATTTACTCAAATGTGTCACTCTAAAAAGAAATTACCAATATATATATATATATATATATGGATTTGTTAATTAACTTACACTCATCAATTTTTTTAGAAAGACTAAGTTACCAAATTACATTTATGTACATTTAAAAAAAATTATAGTTATAACTTTTTAATATTTTTTTAAAAAAAAGAGGTATATGTTAGAAAATCTTACAAGTACTTGATAATTTACATTCACTTATTTTTAAAGGAAACAAGATAACAAACTACATGAGTGTGTTTTATATAAAAGTATAGCTATATGGAAAGAAATCTACTTACTCCAATAATAATTCTTAATAGAGTTATTTCATTTAATATTTCATGATTTATATTAAATTTTAACGATTTAATTATTAAATTAAAAATTCTAATTAAATTGTTAAAATTTAATATAAATCATAAATTATTGATTAAAAAAACTTTATTTAGGATTTATTTTTGAAATAAGTGAATTACTCTTTTATATATATATATATATATCTAACTTTTGCATATAAATATACTTATTGATGTCACATAATATATATATATATATATATATATTAGAGTTTGTTGATTTAAAGAAAATATCCTTGGCAAGGTTCATGATTGAAATGTACAAGATACTTACATGTTATCAACATGGCAAACTGTCCTATTTTGGAAATTGCAATTGCATGTGACATTCCTCACAGTGTCATTATTTATATTAATCTTGCCATTAAAGCCTCCATCTTCTATGCAGGAACGTTCTGTGACTTTCCAATTCAAGTTTTCCAGTTTATCCGATATTGCTTGTAGTGTTTTCACTGCAACACGACAGAAATAAACTACCTTAGCCAAATGCAATCTTTATCAGAATTAGTTAAAAATCATAAACTGCAATTTATTTTCACACTCACAATATCACTGATTCCCTCAAGAATACATTCATTAAATATCTATAGAATTAGAAATCTGCAGTAGTTTAATTTGGACCTCATGCATGTTAATGATAGGTTTTATTTATTTTGTACTATAGTCAAAGACTCAAAGTTTTTTAAAATGTTTAACAAAAGTTGATGGTTCATACTCCCTCTAAACTTATATATAAGAAGAAGAAAAAATATTACTCAGATTAGGAGATAGTTAAATACATTTCATTTTCAAAATTTTATATAAAATATATATTACAATTAATTACTAAAATACTCTTAACGACATTTATTGTAAATACTGTTTTTATTTAATGTTTTAGAAGTATTTTTTGATTAAGAGTATAAAATAAAATTAATTATTAAAAAAATTGTTTATATTTGAGTCTAAAAAATTTTAAAATTTTTTTTGCTCATATTTATTTTTTATATCAGTAAATGATATACATGTATTCTTTTTAAGTTTTTATACATGACCAACCAAATGTTAAGCTAAGCATTATTCTTTAGAAAATCTTTAATATAATTATAAATTGTTACCTTCAATATTTTCATTTTTGATGAATTCTAGATATTGACAAGTCATATATGTCAACGATCTCATGTTGAAAATTAACTGGCAACTCTGGCAGTCAAAAGTCAAAAGCATGACAGGTTCTGTACTTTCTCGAAACTTTTAAATGTTCTTATAATTTATATTTTTTAATAGGTGCCTCTTTAAAACTGTTCTAAAAAAATTGGTTGAGAGCTATAACAAAGGACCCCATAAAAATAATCTTTAAATTATAGTATTCAATTATAAATTTTAAAGAAAATATCCTCTTTTATCCAAAGCAACAAACAAACTTCAAATTTCCAATCTTCAATTTTGGACCAAGTCATGCATGGTCGACAATATAATATAACAAATTTAATTATTTTCGTTCAAAGATTATGTATTTCCGTGTCAAAAACGACGGAATCATCACCACCGTCCATGAGAAAAGGTTGCATGTTTTTTTTTTTTTTTTTT